GACACAGGCACAGCCAGGATTTGTTCGGGATCTGCACTGGGAAAGCGTCTCCTTGTTCCCACCAAAAGGGGACACTGGTGCTGGGTGAGCATCCAGGAAAATCCGCAGCCGAGGAGGGAGGAATTCCAGCTCCCAGGAGAGGAGAAGCTGGGCTGGGAGGAGTGCAGGGACGGGCAGGTCTGGACTCGGGGACCACTGCAGGTCCCGGGGGGCTGGGACACCCCAATCCAGTCTGTCCCCAGCGTCTCCCGTTCCCTGCGGCAGAGCCCGATGGAATTTGCCCGGGAGCACGGGAGGGGCAGTTCCCCCTCGTGTCCCCCGTGCTGTCCTGCTGTGCTTTCCTCGTTGCCTTCACGTCAGTCTGGACAATTCCCGGCCGAGCACGGAGCTGTTTGATCCCCGTGCGGGCACCCCTGCCGTCATTTCTCTGTCTCTGCCTTGGTACAAGTGCGCTGCTTGGTTTCACTTGGGATCCGTGTTTTTCATTCTTTCTGTGCTCTTTTCTTTTTTTTTTTTTTTCTTTTCTTTCTTTCTTTCCTTCCTTCCTTTGCGTTTCTTCTGCTTGTGTTATCAGAGGATGATGCTTTTGTTGACAAACTGCCCGCGTTTGAAAGGCGCAGTGAAACGCCGGCAGGTACTGTACTAGCAGGGAGTTTTCCAAGAATTCCAAGAATTCCAAGAATTCCGCCTCTGGAGCGGCACCCACCGCTCGCAGCACCTTGCATGACAGTTTCTCAGTGACTCAAAGGACTTGGAGGTGGAAAGTCGGCACCTCCCGAATTCCAAAAAGTTCATTTAGCAGCTCCAAAAGCTGCTCGTGCCCCCTCTCACCCCCACCCTCGGCTCTCACATCCCGAATTTTTCCAGCGTGGTGGCTTTGGGAGCGCAGGTTGCGCTGGGGAAGGGAAGACTCCAGCTAGGATCCGCTGCTCTGTGTGCGTGTGTCCGGTTCTCCGCAAATTGTCGTGTCCCGAGGTGCGACAGCAAACAGCCACGTGTGTCACTTGTCCCTGAGTGTCACAGCATCCCGCCGGGAATGCTGAGCAGAACCCCCGAGGAGCGCATGAGCCGCCAAAACCTCTTCTACCGTGGGCAAAAACCAAAGCGAGAGCTCCCCTCCAAAAGCAGAACGACTCTTCCATCATCTGGGCTTGCATAGCTTGGCTCCCCGCTTTCCGTGTCCCCGCTGTCCCCGCACGTGTGACCGCCCTGCAGCCCCTTAGCGACATTAATGACCTGCTCCGTGACTCACACTGTGTCCTTCTCTCTCCCTCTCCTTGACCTTTCCCATCCCGCTTCAACTCCTGGCCATACAGAGAATGAACAGCCTTCCCTCGTTTGGTTTGACAGAGGAAAGTTTTATTTGACTTTCGAAGGTAAGTAGTGCAAAGCACGCCCGGTAACCGCTCGCTCCCCTCGCTCTTCTCGCTGCCGGGGTTCCCTTCCAGGCTCCATCCGATCCAGCTTTCCAGGCTCCATCCGATCCAGCTTTCCAGGCTCCATCCGATTCAGCTTTCCGGGCTCCATCCGATTCAGATTTCCAGGCTCCATCCGATTCAGATTTCCAGGCTCCATCCGATTCAGATTTCCAGGCTCCATCCGATTCAGCTTTCCAGGCTCCATCCGATTCAGTTTTCCAGGCTCCATCCAATCCAGCTTCCCGTGCGGAACGCTATGGGCACTTAGATGGCATCGCCGGTCCCACCGCAATGGTTTTGATTTGATTTGTGCCATTTGTCTCGCTGATCTCTTTTTTTTCCTCATTCATCTCCTTAAAAAAACAAAACAAAACAAAACAAACCCTCAAAAAACCCTAACAAACAAACAAACACCAAAACAAAAACCAACCAACCGACCAAAAAAAAAGAAAAAAATCCGCCCCGAGCGAACCAAACCCCCAAAGGAATATTGTGGATATTCCCAGGGGGCGGTGAGAAGCAGGGAGCGGAGCCGCTTGCATTGCCGAGGACCTTGACTCTGCCAGCCAGGGCTTCTCCCCGCTCGCTCCCCGGAGCGGGCTGGGCTGGATTTGGGAATTCCAACCTCAGAGGTGTCGGGTTCGCTGCCTCCTCCCCTCCTCCCATCCCGATTTTGGGCGGGAAGGGCTCCGGGAATGCGCTGGCACTGCCAGCTGTGCCCTGGGCTTGTGCCGGGCTGTGCCAGGATGTGCCCTGGGCTTGTGCCAGGCTGTGCCGGGCTGTGCCGGGCTGTGCCAGGATGTGCCGGGCTGTGCCGGGCTGTGCCGGGCTGTGCCAGGCTGGAGGGTTTTGGGGAGGATGCAGGGAGGGGAAATGCTCGGTTTGGGGCTCATGGCTCCTTGTCCAAGCTGTGTCACATCCCAGAGAGGACAAAGGCTGAGTCCTGCTGGGAGAGCCCCGAGGCTTTGGGGGAAGTTTCGTCCCGCCGAAATTTTCTTTTTAACGCCAGAGGGAAAAGCAGGAGGTTCTCTCCCAGCGGGGAAAGATTCCCCAAATCCCAGAGGAGCTCCCGGGAGCTGCTGTGGTGCTGCAGGCAGAGCTGGGGGATGCTGCTGGCACGGGCCAGCCCCGAGAACAGATCCATGTGTGACTCCCAAAGTGTCCCCTCCTGCACAGGGGTGGCCCTGCCAGGCTGAGCAGTGACCCAGGGTGGCCCTGCCTGGCTGAGCAGTGGCCCAGGGTGGCACTGCCAGGCTGGGGAATGACCCAGGGTGGCACTGTCTGGCTAAGCAGTGGCCCAGGGTGGCCCTGCCAGGCTGGGGAGTGGCCCAGGGTGGCATTGCCTGGTTGAGGAGTGGCCCAGGGTGGCACTGCCTGGCTGAGCAGTGGCCCAGGGTGGCTCTGCCTGGCTGGGGAATGACCCAGGGTGGCCCTGAGTGGCTGGGGAGTGGCCCAGGGTGGCACTGCCTGGCTGAGCAGTGGCCCAGGGTGGCACTCAGCCCATGGGGATCACAGAGCAGACCCACCCTGGTGCCAGGGGTGGCTGAGCAGCAGCACAAGGCAGGGATCACGGTGGTGACCAGGGGGATTTGGGCTCTTCCTTTCCTCCTTTTTCCTCGACCCCAAGGTCCCCACTCTGACAATTCCCACTTTGCTGTCCCCACTCCCATGGCATCTCCCAGCTCAGACCCCAGAGGAGCTGCTTCCAACCAAAATCCCTGCCTGGCTTTCCTTTCTCAGGGGCTTTTTGGGAGCTCTGGGGGGAGCTGAGGGCAGCAGGGGCAGAGTTATCCCCCAGCAGGAAAATTCCAGCTCCACATTCCCTGCGCTTCCTTGCTGCCCCTGCCTCAGCCCAGCACCAGCCCCGAACATTTGGGGTTTTTCTCGTGCCTTGAACTTTGTGTTGGAATCCTTGGGCTCGGTTCTGGTGGAGTTCAGGGTGGGATTATCCCAGGCTCTGCCTCCAGGATCATCCCCCACCCCTGCAAGGAGCTGCCACAGCTCCACACGCTGCATTTCCTGACTTGCCTCTAAATATTTGAAAATTTAAAAAAAACCCATAAACTTAATGTGCAGGGAAGTGAGAGGAAATCTGAGTTTGGCATCAGGAACTCAGGGCATGGAGTACCAGAAGGGAAATGATGGTTTCTGGATTTTTTTTTTTTTTTCAATTGATGATTTTTTCTGGATCTAGAAATGGTTGTTTCTGGATTTTTTTTGCTTGATGGTTTCTGGCTTTTATTCTTTTTTAATTGATGATTTTCTGGATATAGAAATGGTTGTTTCTGGATTCGGGGTGGGGTTTTTTTGGCAAGATCCACGTGCTTGATGGGCATGGGGCACCTTGTCCCTGTGTGGAAGGAGATGTGGTGATGTTGTCGTGCAGAGTCGTGGTCTGGGATCCTTCAGAGCTCCATTTCCCACCTTTTGTAGGGAAAAATAAGGCAAATTAAGCTGCTCTGCTGCTTATGGCTGGATCCAAAGCTCCATAAAGTGGATTTATTTTTTTTTCTCTCTGTTATTATCAGGTCATTCATGCCAATGAAATGTTTATAAAAATGACTTTTGAGGCAGGAGCTGAAAATGCAGCTTTGGGGTGGAGTTGTGCCACAGCAACTGGATTTGTCTCTCAGGTTTCTGGATGATAATTCCAGCCCTTACAATAGTTTATACTTTTCTTTTTTTACTGAAATCACGGAGCCTAAAAATTAATTTATTCTCTGAAGCCACGAAGAGAAGGATTTATGGATTCACGAGGGAACCAAGAACCCCAAATCCATCCCATAATCTTCAGAGCATTAGAAATGAGGATGTTTTGTTGTTGCTGCTGCTGCTCAGGTGGATTCTGAGCATCCCAGGGACATTCCCACATCCCAGGGATCCATGAGATCCACTCCCGTTTATTCCTGATTTTCCATCCTGGACAATCAAGGATGGAAATGCAGAGGGAAGAGAAGTGTGGTGGTGTGGGAGACAGCCCTGCCCCACATTCCACACCTTGGCCTGGGCTCCAGGCTAAACCCAGCTGGAATTGGTGCATTTGGGACATTTGGGAATGCGCAAATTTTTCCTTTCTTTTTCCCAGGAACGATGGTTCCATTGCCAAACTTTTTTTTTTTTTTTTTTTTTTTGCCTTCCCTACGAGACAAGCGCAGGGGCTCCTCTGGTTGTCACCTCCAGTTCCCCCCTCCCCAGCCAGGATTTGTGGGGGTTTTTGAATCCCATCTGCATTTCCACTGTGGAATATCAGCTATTCCCACTCCTATTCCCACTGCTGGGATATCAGCTGGGTTCGATGCTCTCAGGGCTCGTTGCTCTGGGTGGGGAGCAAGGATTTGCTCCCAGTGGAATCTCTGGGAAGGATTTTTAGCAAATGTTTGTCCCACGTGCTGCGTGTCCCCTCGGCCGTGGCGTTTTGGGGTGTGGTGCCCCTTGGTTTTGGGGAGCTCACCTGGAACTCTGTTCTTCGGTGGGAATTCCAGCAGGGAAATCCCTGGTGGATCTCCTGGGCTGGTGGGCAGAGCAGGAGGCTCTGGGCTCGTTAGGATAATTAATGCGTGTGTGGTAATGAGGTTGGTGTGTGGGGGGGAGGTGTCCCAGCTGCTCATCCCAGAACAGCTGGATCCTCTCCCCGAATGGATTCTCTGGAATCTCGGATTCCCCTGAGCCTCTCCAGATGTGGGACCCAGAGGGACACGTGTGGCTGCATCAGCTTTCCACACTTTGATTCTGCATTAGACCCTGGAAAAGGGAAAATCCCTCACGTGTGCCTCCAGGATTTCTCCTGAGGTGTGAGGATTCCTGCTCCTTTCCATCATTTCCCCCATTAACATTCCCAAACTCCCCGTGTCATCCAAGTGCTTCCCTGGGGAGTTGTTACAAATCCCAATTTCCTGCTCCCAAACCCCTGGAATTCCCAGGGGCAGCCATGGGGAGGAAGGGAAGGGATGGCTTTGGGGATGGAGAGCTCACAGGGAACGTGGCACCTTTTGTTCAGCTTTGTTTCCCCCTGATCCTGTGCCTGTGGAAGTGTTGCCCTTCCCGGGAATGGTGTTGGAATTCCCATGGATTTGGAGTTCCCATGGCTTTAAAATTCTGATGGTTTTGGAGTTCTCATGGATTTGGAATTCCCATGGCTTTGGAATTCTCATGACTTTGAAGTTCCCATGGCTTTGGAGTTCTCATGACTTTGGAATTCTCATGACTTTGGAATTCCTATGGCTTTGGAGTTCCCATGGATTTGGAGTTCCTATGGATTTGGAGTTCCCATGGCTTTAAAATTCTGGTGGTTTTGGAATTCCTAGGACTTTGGAATTCCCATGGCTTTGGAATTCCGATGGTTTTGGAGTTCTCATGGATTTGGAGTTCCCATGGATTTGGAGTTGCTATGGACTTGAAATTCCCATGGCTTTAAAGTTCCTATGGTTTTGGAATTCCTAGGACTTCGGAGTTCCCACGGCTTTGAAATTCCCATGACTTTGGAATTCTCATGACTTTGGAATTCCCACAGTTTTGGGGTTCCCATTGCTTTGGAATTCCTCTGGCTTTGGAATTCCTGCACTTTGGAATCCCTGCAGCTTTGGCTGGTGCTCTTATGCTCCAGGCAAAGCCTGGGCTGGATCCATCCCCGTTTCCACCCTCCTGGCAGTGCTGGTGACGGAGCGAGGGCGTTCCTGGACAAGCTGCCCCTCTGGAATCCTTTTCTGTTCCCTTTTATCTGCTTTGGGGCAAAATAATCCTGCTGACAACTCCTGGGCTGGTGCACAGGCCGTGGTGTCAAAGCAAGGCCCCCCAGTGGTGCAGAGCAGGGGGTGGATGGGGCTGGAGGGCAGGGAGGGACCTCGCCAGGATTTTTTGGGATCTGTGGCATCATCACTTTGGATCTCTGGGCTCATCTTTGGGTGGGGAAGAGGTGAGGGCTTGGCTGTGCCAACCCCTTGGTCCCACAGAGGGTTTGCAGCACAACCTGGAGCTCCTGAGGAGCTCTTGCAGCCACGATTTCATCCTCAAATATTTTCTGGGAACAATTCCTGGCCAGCAAAGGCAAACCTGGCTGTGATCCTGCAGGGCTGAATTATTTCAGAGCCTGGCAAGTGTCCATGGATGCACAGCAGCATTGAAACAAACTTTTCCTGTTTTTTCAAATCATGGAATCCTAGGAAGGTTTGGTTTAATAAAAAAAACCCTTAAATCTCAGCTTGTTCCAACTTCCACTGTCCCAGCTGGCTCCTGTCCAAGCTGGCCTTGGACTCTTCCAGGGATCCAGCTGCTCTGGACAAGCAGTGCCTCTGGAATTGGTGCATTTTTCTGTTTTTCCAGGTTTCTGACAATTTTCAGATTTCCTGCCGGGATGGGTTTTTGAAAAAAAAAAAACCAAACAAAAATCCCAAACTTGAGAACGGAGGGTTTTGTGGAGCGAGTGTGGTGTGGAGGATGCATCCACAGGGCAGGAGAGGAGAACTGAGAGTGCTGGGGACATCAGGGGGACACTGCCACCACCCTGATCCCACTGAGCTCCCAGTGGTGACACAATGAACCCCTCCCAGCCCCTTTTTATGGGGCCCAAAAACAACAAAAAAAAAAGAAAAGTGACTGCAAAAACTGTCATGCAAAGCCTGCCCCGTGGCAGCCCCGCATGCTGCTCCCTCCCGGCCACCTCCATCCTTTTCTTTGCTTGCTTTTGGCTTTTGGGAAGAGGGAGGGTGCAAAAAAAAAAAAAAAAAAAAATCATTTTCCAAAAGCTTCATCCAAAGCCTGGGGGAGGGTGGGATTTTTTTTTTTAATTTTTATTTTTATTTTTGGTGCCCAGGAGGAAGGCTGGGGGGCCAGGGCGAGGTGCCAGGCTCGGGGCAGGTGCCAAGGGCAGCTCTTTGCTCTGTTGCAGGCTCGTCTCGGGGGCCCAGCCCCCTGACCATGGGGGCACAGGACACCCTGCCCGTGGCTGCTGCCTTCACCGAGACCGTCAATGCTTATTTCAAAGGGGCTGACCCCAACAAGTAGGTGCTGACCCCCCCCGGGCTTGGGGTGTCCCTGGGGGGGCGGTTTTGGGGTGGGGGGGGTCTGACAGGGAGGTCTCACCCGTGTGTGGGTAGAACAGAAAGGGGTTTGGGTGTGGAATCTGAAGAAGGAATAGAAATGGAAGCACGTTTTGATAGAGAATTGCTGAGGGGGTTTTACTGCTGGGTGAGGAAAATGAATCCACAAACACCCGAGATTTGAGTCCAAAAATGAGACAGAGGATCCTGGAACTTTATAGAATAAATGGAGAGGTCATGGGGCGTTCCCCTGGGATCTCTCACATTTTGGATCCCTTTTGATCCCAATTTCCCTCTCTCTTTCCCCATGGGCTGAGTTACTGGAGAGGCCCAGACTTCCCAAACCCTGATCCCTGAGATTTCCCTCCAATGTACAACCCTCCCTTTGCATTTTTAATTCTTACAGAATCCAGCGTTTGTTCCCCATTGCTTCTTTCATCTTTCAATATCCAATTTCATTTATCAGCAAACCTGCAGTTTGTTTGTAAAGGCAAATCTCTTTTTCCATTCATCAATCAGTGGAATCCATCCCATTATTTCTTTTATCTCCCAGTACTGGTTTTATCCACCAGCAGACCCACAGCTTGTTTGGAAAGACAAATTCATCATTTCTCTCCCACCTCAAACAGAAAATATTTTTACCAAGCAAAATGATTCTGCAGGCAAACAAGAATGCAAAAATTGTAGAATTGCAAAAAACAGTAGAAAAAAACCTCAGAATTTTCTGCAAGAAAACCAAAAAACAACTTTCAGTTTAAATTGTAACGTACCAACTTTTTTTTTTTTTTTGTGATGGGGGAATGGTAACACGGATACGGTGATGTTAGTAGTTATGATGGGCTGTAGGTTAAAGTATTGATTGGTGGTTATATATTAAAAAGTATTTAAAGTATTGAACTAATTAACCAAAACTAGAGTTGGCTTCAGACAAACCTGTGCCTGAAAGCTGTAGGTTAGGCTCTGGTCTGAATTGCTGCATCATCTGGAGGCAATAAACAGCAATTTAAATAATAAATAAATTGCTGTATCAGCTGGAGACAAGAAAAAGCATTTAAAGAAACACCTGGAGCCCCCCCCATCCCTCATTTCAGCTCTAACAGAGGTCAGACAGAGTTAAGGGGAATAAAATGGATATTTATTGATTGGATATTTATTGATTGGATATTGATTGAGGAACCTTCAAAGGCCACACCCTGGCAGTGCCAGTGCCACAGTGGTGGCCCCTGCCCTGATGGCTCCAGGGTGGAAGCAAAAGAGAGCTTGGTCACAAAATCTCACATTTTTATAGGTTTTACTCCATTTGCATAAAGAATTGTCCAATTAATAGCCTCAAATCATGAAATTTCATCCTCCTTGCTTGCCCACCCTCCTCTTTCCACGTTGTTTGTGCTCAGGGCCTGAAGTTTGAGGAGATTGTCCTTGAGTTCCCAGCTGGAATAATTTGGTTTTGTCTTCACCACCCTGTGAGAAGATCCTAGGAACCCTTAATATAAAACTAAAAACTGCACACCCAAGCAGAACAGAAAAAAAAAAACCTTTCAACTTAAGGTTTTGTGGGACAGGAGGTGATGTGGCCTGGGGTGTCAGGGACAGGACACTGCTGAGGTGCCCCGTTTAAAAATATTTCTGCTGTGGGGAAGGAAGGGAGGGAGGGATGGCAGAGAGCAGCACAGGAAGGGTGGCAGGGGGGCTGCTCCCCTTCCCGTGCCCCAAAGGGGATGGAATTCCTGCAGAAACGTGGAGGGGTTTCCCACCTGTGTTTTAAAACCCTCCGAGATTAAAACCCCAAAGGGCAGAGCGAGGACGAATTAATTTCACTGGAATACTGAACAAAATAAGAAAATAAGAATCTTTAACAGGGCACATTTAAGATCTCCATCAGCCCTTGTGCTGTTTGTGCTCTCTCTGAGGCCACCAGAGGCTCAGAGTCAGAGAATTCACAGAATTCACAGAATTCACAGAATTCACAGAATTCACAGGATCACAGAGTCACAGGATCACAGAATTCAGAGAGTCACAGTCACAGAATCTCAGTCACAGGATCACAGAGATCATAGGATCAATCACAGATTTCACAGGATCACAGAATCTCAGTCACAGGATCACAGAGATCATAGGATCAATCACAGAATTCACAGGATCACAGAATCTCGATCACAGGATCACAGGATCAATCACAGAATCCCAGTCATGAGGTTGGAAGATCAAGTCCTCCAAGCTCATGGAGTTCCACCCATGCCCAACCCCTCAACTAACCCATGGCACCCACATCCAATCCTTTTCTAAACACACCCAGGGATGGTGACTCCACCCCCTCCCAGGGCAGACAATCCCAGTATTTTATCACCTTTTTCCTAATTCCTAATTTCCTAATTTCCCTGGGCGCAGCCCGGGGCTGTGTCCCCTTCCTGCCGTCTGTCACCCGCTGTTGGGAGGGGATGGGGGTCTGCAATCCCCCCCTCTCCTTGCTGTGTTTTGAGCCCCCTTTTTCCTCTCTCCCCCTGGCTGTCTGTGCTGGCTGCTGCAGGTGCATCGTGAAGATCACGGGGGAGATGGTGCTGTCCTTCCCTGCGGGCATCACCCGACACTTCGCCAACAACCCCTCCCCAGCCGTGCTCACCTTCCGTGTGCTCAACTTCAACCGCCTGGAACACGTCCTGCCAAACCCCCAACTGCTCTGCTGGTAAAGCCTTTCCCCTCAGCTGCAGCCCAGGGTTCCAGGGAAAATGGGTGTTTGTAGGAATGGATGGTCTGAAGGGTTTTCCTCGGGAGAAGGTTTGGGGAATGAAACTCTCAAACATTTAAATCGTTGGTAAAATCCCGCCATGGTTTGGGTTGATGGATCATCAGGATTGTCCCATGGGCAGGGACACCTTGCACTATCCAAAGTTGTTCCAAGCTCTGTCCAGCCTGGCCTTGGGCGTTTTCAGGAACCCAGGGGCAGCCACAGCAAATCTGGGAATTCTATTCCAGGGTCTCTTCACCCTCCCAGCCAGGAATTCCGTCCCAATATCCACCCCTGCCCTCTGGGAATCCATTCCCTGTGTGCTGTCCCTCCCTGCCTTGTCCCCAGTCCCTCCCCAGCTCTCCTGGAGCCCCTTCAGGCCCTGCCAGGGGCTCTGAGCTCTCCCTGGATCCTTCTCCTCTCCAGGTGAGCACCCCCAGCTCTCCCAGCCTGGCTCCAGAGGGGCTCCAGCCCTGCAGCAGCTCCATGGATTCCTCTGGAATTTCTCCAGCAGCTCCACATCCTCTTGATGATGGGCTGGGGCAGCTCTGCAGGTGGGGCCTCACCTGAGAGCAACAGAGGAGCAGAATCCCCCCCCCCCCCTTTCCTGCTGCCCACCCTGGGATCAGCCCGGGACTGGGGGGATTCTGAATCCCAGATGGATCAGGACAAGCTGGAGCTGTGTGGGAGGGAGCCAATATTCCCCTGGAGGTGGGATTGATGCAGGTCCTGTGCTGTTCAGAGCAGCTCTGCTGCCCGGCCACGTTACCCAAGGGGGTTCATTCTCCTCTGTGCAGTGACAGCGTGCAGAGCGACTCCAACTCCAAGGAGTTCTGGGTCAACATGCCAAATCTGATGACTCACCTAAAGAAGGTATCGGAACAGAAACCTCAAGCCACCTATTACAATGTGGATATGCTCAAATACCAGGTAGGGTGGCGTTTTTGTTTTTGGGGGGTTTTTTTTGTGAGATAAAACCGTGCCAAAACCAAAAAAAAAAAAAAAAAAAAAAATTTAAAAAAATTAAAAAAAAAAGTGTGCCGATTCTGGCTGTGAAAATGATGTTTCCCTAGTGCAGAGTGGGGCTAATGTGAGGTGGGGGCTCTTGTTGTCCCACTGTCCCTTCTGTGTGGCGCTGCCTTGCCCGCATTTTAAGCCCAGTACTAAACCCAATGGGAGCTCAAGCTCTTTACCTCCCAGTGCGATTATCCGCGTCTGTAAAACGGGATTTCCCCCCTTCAGCCCTATGGAAACTAAATGTTTTTTCTGTCATTTTGGAAGGTATCTGCCCAGGGTATTCAGTCTACTCCATTAAACCTTGCAGTGAGCTGGCGCTGTGACCCTGCAAGCACTGACCTGCGCATTGACTACAAATACAACACGGAGGCAATGACCGCCCCTGTAGCTCTAAACAACGTCCAGTTCCTCGTCCCCGTCGACGGAGGAGTAACCAAACTTCAAGCTGTGCTTCCTCCCGCTGTCTGGTAAGGATTGTTCACCGCTGCCTAAAATCCCCATCCTGCTGCAGGGAGCTGGGAGCGCCTTGGGGACACGGACCCGCCCTCCTCTTGTAGGAAGGGAATGTTTAACCCAGCTCTGATTCTTTTTTTCTTGCCATTCCCGTTAAAAAAATATGGTCAGAGATGAAGGGATATGTGCAGGCAGCCCTTATTTTGTGTTTTTGGCTGCTTTAACCAGGGTTTAGAGGGATGCTCAGCCCTGGCACAGGGTGTCCAGATTTGTTGTGGCTGTCCCTGGATCCCTGGAATGTCCAAGGCCAGGCTTGGAGCAGCCTGGGATAGTGGAAAGTGTCCCTGCCCGTGGCCTGGATGAATTTTAAGATCTTTTCCAGCCAATATAGTCTGGGATTCTGGGATTCTATGGAAGGATGCAGGGCTGTCATTTCCATGTCTCTTGCCCATTGCTCACCAGCAATCCTCATAACAATCATACATTTTATTTTGTTTGGAAAAGCCTTCTAAGGCTATCAAGTCCACCCATGAACCCAGCATTGTGAAATCCAAACCCAAGCTCCCAAAATTGCTGCTCCAGAGCAGTTTCCCCCCCCCTCTCCCCCAGCCTTTAGCAAAATTCAAATTACTCCTCAGCAATTTCTTGATTCCTACAGAAATGCTCTTCTCCATGTGTTTGCAGGAATGCTGAACAGCAAAGGATATTGTGGAAGATCCCTGACATCTCCCAGAAGTCAGAAAATGGAGGTAAAAATGTAAAAATGCACGTCCTTAACTCGGAATCCTTCCCTCAGCCCCTGACCCACTGACGGTGCCAGCACACAAGCCCAGACACTCAGATTCCTGCTGGGGCTTGCTGGGGACAAAACTATTTAATTTTGGAGCTTAAAAAGCAGGGCTGTGTGCCACCAGCACGGCTGTGCCAACCACCTTGGCATCCCGAGGGGAATTCACACACGGGGCTGCTTTGCCAATATTTGGAGGCTGGGGACCCACGTGCATCCCTGTTGGGGACATCGGTGTCTCCTCCAGAGGTTTTCCATGTGGGAAAGTCTCCAAAGGTTTTGGAACAGAATTTTAGATACAAGCAAAGTTTTGATTAGAGGTAGAAGTTGTTTTTGTTGAGGTTTTGGTAGGGTGATGTGGATGTGTGAAAATGAGGATGAGGGGGTTTGGTTTGGATCTGTCCCATCCCGGGAATCCTGCGGGGTTCGGCTCTGCCCCATCCCGGGATCCTGCGGGGTTTGGCTTTGTCCCATCCCGGGATCCTGCGGGGTTTGGCTTTGTCCCATCCCGAGGATCCTGCGGGGTTCGGCTCTGTCCCATCCCGGGAATCCTGCGGGGTTTGTCTTTGTCCCATCCCGGGATCCTGCGGGGTTTGGCTTTGTCCCATCCCGGGAATCCTGCGGGGTTCGGCTCTGCCCCATCCGAGGATCCTGCGGGGTTTGTCCCATCCCGGGATCCTGCGGGGTTTGTCCCATCCCGAGGATTCTGCAGGGTCGGTCCCTCCGTGACTCTTCGCAATCCCCTTGTGGGTCCCAAAAACGCTCCTGGCGCCCGTCCCTGCTCACGGGGCTCTCTTTGGGGTTTCTCTCCAGGTGTGGGCTCGCTGCTGGCGCGGTTCCAGCTGTCGGAAGGGCCGAGCTCGCCGGCCCCGCTGGCCGTGCAGTTCACCAGCGAGGGCAGCACCTTGTCCAGCTGTGACATCGAGCTGGTGGGAGCCGGGTACCGCTTCTCCCTCATCAAAAAGAGGTTTGCGGCAGGTGGGTGCTCCTTTGGGGTGTCCCTGTCCCCGCAGGTCCCCTCGGGCTGTGCCGGGATGCTGGAGGATGCTGG